TAAAGCAAATTTTAATTTTCATTAGTCATTTCTATTCATTTTATTAGTTCCATCAGTCTATGTTGTTATAGTTTTATTGTTTTCTTTTATTTTAGTTCGGTTTAAAGGTTTACGAAACCCAAATACTTTTTTTTGAGATTTTAACAGATTTGTGTGTGTAATTATTATTATTTTTACTATTTAGTAATAATAATAATAATAATTAAAAAATTGTATTCATAATGCGCTTTTTCTAAAACCCAAAGTAAGTGGATATAGTAAGTGGAAGTTGTTATAAGGAAGTTTGTTAGTATAAGTTATAATTTTCTTTTAATTGCAATAAAGCTAAATGGTTCAACACGGTTTGGTAATAAAATAAAAATGCATGCAATAAAACAACATGCAATTATATTATGTTGGTTCCCTTTACATGCCATCAATTTAAAAAAATTCTATAAAATATTACACCTAAAAAACAATTTTTTTGGATGTTGGACGATTTATTATTGAGGTTTATTTATGAGAAAAAACATTAATTCTTCTACTTCTAATACTGCTTGTTTATATCAAGGATTTACTTGCCATTTCTTTCTAATTAATTGTGAAAATTGTCTTTACACCAAATAATTCCCAAAATATAACTTTGTTTACTGTTTAGCTTCTGATATAAATGTGAACCTGTGATACCTCTAAAAGGGCTACAAATGTTTAAACTTAAATGTTAAATATTGTTCTCGCAAATAAAACAGTCATGAGACTCTTAGAAGACTTAATGACATGTGATAAACATACCGATATGTCTTAATCAGTTAAGACTTTTTTTCATCATAATGAAGGAAAGTCTCTGTTTACCCGTGATGCAAGTGGCAGGATCCATTTTGCATGCAGTCTGAATTAGTTTCAGCGAATCTGTTCTCAAGCCCATGACAGATAAAACAGATCATTTGATCCCTCACATGAGGCCAGAACTGTCTTCATCCTAAACGAGAAAACAAATCACACACACACACACACAAGGTTAAAATAGTCAGATCTGAAGAAAAGACAGGTATCCAGTCAATGCAGATGTAAACAGTATCAGTTAAATTTGGCAAAAAGATGCAAAGACAGCCTCCGAATGTAACCCTAGATGAGCGATGCACGATATTGGAAAAAACTGACATTGCAATATTTTCATTTACGATAAAGACTCCAAAATAAATGCAATTTCAGCAGATGACTTGAATACCTTGTAAAGAATTCATAATTTTAAATCAACTTAAAGGGTGGGTGTCTGCATAAAATTATATATAAAAAAAATAGAAGCAAAGATAAATACAACAGATAAACCATGCAAATAAACAATGATTTATGATTTACTGGGGAATCAAACAGTATACAGAAGCAGGAATTAAATAATTACCATATAAATTTAAAAAAACACTAGCGTTTTAATGGAGTAAATAATTATATAATGTACAATTAACCTTTAAGCTACAAACTTTTCATTCATTGTGCCCAAAAGGCTTAAATGTGCTCCAGATTCTGACGGTCAGGTCTTAAAAACACATGCAAATAATAAACTTTTACTAAAACTTTAAGGTTTTATTTTATATTTTTAATTATAGCTCCAACATTGCAGATCCCTGTGATGTGACTATCGTGGACCTGTGCATTGCGATATCAATGCTGAAACGATATGTTGTACAGCCCTATTCTGGACCACAGTGGATATATTTGTAGGAATAGCCAAAAATAAAGTGTATGGGTAAAAATGATCATTCGTTCATTCTCTTTATGGCTCAGTCCCTTCATTAATCAGGGGTCACCACAGCGGATTGAACCGCCAACTTATCCAGCATATGTTTTGCACAGTGGATGCCCTTCCAGCTGCAACCCATCACTGGGAAACATCCATACACACTCATTCACACACATACACTTTGGCCAATTAAGCCTACCCAATTCCCTTATAGCACATGTCTTTGGACTTGTGGGGGGAAACCGGAGCACCCGGAGGAAACCCAAGCCAACACTGGGAGAGCATGCAAACTCCACACTGAAATGCCAACTGACCCACTCGAGGCTCGCAGCAACCTTCTTGATGTGTGGCGATCGTGCTATACCCACTGTACCACCGTGCTGCCCATGACATTATTACGTCATAGTTAGAATATTTTGTTCATAAAAGCCAATAAAAAAAGATAATCAAATGTATGTAGTGGAAAGAGCAAAGTTAACAACTGTGTTAACATTTTTATAGTTTTTACAGTTGGAAAGTTTGACCCAAGTGCATATTAATTTTACTGTTTTACTTATGTACCTGAAAAACTAGAATGGTTTTTAACAAACTAATTAAATAAAAAACTAATAAAACTACTTCTAAAGCACATATAAATTGGTGAATTTGGACATTTAAGTCAGAATATAGTCCATAACCAACAGCAGAACATCTGCCCAATTACACTGAGGTGCTGAAACACAAATGTTGGAAAAGCAGATTATGCAGAAATGCCAGCATATAATCATCAATTTTCAATTTGGATTGTATTAGTGATGGACACTTATTTTCAATTCAGGGGTTTCAGCACAGAAAATTAAAAGCACCAACTTTAGCACAGAAAAAGCTGATTTGCAGTTCTAAATAAGCTTGAAAACTAAAACATTTAGACGGGGTCAAAACCGAAAAGCATTTAAACCGATAAGATTTCAGCAGATTTATGATGTATACACCATTTTGCAAAAGCCATAAAATACATTATATTGGTCAAACATATACATTTACTTCCTTTCTTTTCTATGCCAAAAATCATTGACTATTAAGTAACTGACTGATTTTTCTAATTAGTAAATGACATAAGTTACTCTCTTAAACAGTTAATTGATAAAGAGACCCCAGGAGAGACAGAAATGTGTCAGTTTTTGGAAACTGAGATGTATAAATCACCTCAAAGCTGCACAAATTACCTCAAAGCATGATAAAGTATAATAAAGTAATAAAGTATAACTTATTTCCATTGAAATATGGAAAGATATTGGTGTAGAAACATCTCATGCCTATTATATATCAAAACTCAATGTCTGATTAGTAATGCACATTGTTAAAAGCTTAACTTGGACAACTTTAAAAGGCGTTTTCTCAATATTTAGATATTTTTTAACCTGCTTAATTTGGCCAGCTCCGCTTCTTTATTTCAATACCAGTTTTTATGGTGGTACTTTGAGAGACAATTGTTTTTTGAGGAGGTAATTGGTGAAAAAACTTTGAGAACCACTGATTTATACAATTTTCAGGTGATTTATAGACCTCAGTTTCCAAAAACAGACACAATTTTGTCTCTCCTGGGGTCTCCTTATCGATTCAATTCAATTCAATTCAGCTTTATTTGTATAGCGCTTTTACAATGTAGATTGTGTCAAAGCAGCTTCACATAAATGGTCATAGTAACTGGAACAGTGTGGTTCAGGTTTTAGTGTTTAAGTTCAGTTCAGTTCAGTTTAGCTCAGTTCAGTGTGATTTAATCATTACTAAGAGTTCAAACACTGAAGAGCCAATTCATCGATGCGTAGCTCTACCAATCCTGAACCATGACATAACCAACATATCGATGACCTGTTTAAGAGTAACACAATTCATTTACAAATCACCAGAAAGCTGTATAAATAATATTTATAATATTTTAAAATCTGGAACTTGAGGGTTAACAAAATCTAAATATTGAGAAAATGGCTTTTAAAGTTAAGCAAATTAAGCTTTTAACAATGCACATTACTAATCAGACATTGAGTTTTGATATATTATATACAGTAGATATTTTTGCAATATTTAGACATATTGCAATGAAAATACTATTTATACAGCTTTGAGGTGATTTATACATCTCAGTTTCCAAAAACAGACACATGTCTATCTCTCCTGGGGTTTCATTACCGATTAACTGTTTAAAAGTAACATAATCAAGTATTTTAGACAAGTCATTTACAAATTATAACTGATATCCTTGTTGTAATAGTTAATATCAAGATCTTGCTTCTGCTTGTTGTCTTACACAGACCTTGTCCTTAAGTGAGGACTTCTCTTTTTTCTGCTGTGTTATCTGATCATCTGAACAAGCTCTACAGGACAGTCACGGATGATTATGGCTGTAAAAGCTTGTCTTATGGTCCACAGGAGCATGAGATCTTCACAAGAGCATCAGCCGAAAGTGAAGAGAATGGGAGTTTTCAGTCCAACTTTCTCTGCTGATCCACCATAGAAGATGCATTTGGCTTGCCCTGCATCCCAGTACTGTGAAGCATCTGTCTATACACCGTTAATTTCTTCACTTCCTTGTATGCTTAATTATAGTAGCATTCACAAAACATTGCTTTGTTAAAGTAAAAATGTAATGTCATCATAAACACTAGCTTAGAATCTCCATGCTAGTTTGATGTTTTAGTTGATGATAACGAGGATAAATAATGCAGCTTAAGTCAGAACAAATTAACTACCTACTATTGATATCTTCAAAACACAAGACAGATCTTCGTAGAACAAAACCGCCATCTAGTGACTGAAATTGCGGCATTACATCTACTGTTGACGCGGCGCAGACTACTAGAACGTGCTGACGTGACCTACTTAATATTCATGCGCAAAGCCTTTACCATAGTATGATTGTTGCTAGATCAGATACAGTTGCGAATAAGAATTGTTTATAAGATTTACAAATTTATTGTATTTTGTTAACGTTTCCCCTTACCCTAATCCTAAATCCTACCGTCACAGTAATGTAAAAACAGTATTGCATCGAGTATTGTTGATGTTATTTAATAAATTACCCAATTAACCTTCTTTTTTAACGTCTACCCTTACCTCAACTTTAAACCCAACCATTACAGTACTGTAAAAATATTAATTATTGTTATACACTATCACAAAAATAATGCGATATTGACGCGCGTTTCCGCAGCTGTATCCAATCTAGACTTTTCCCCATAGTAGTATCAACAAATACGCTTCCGGTTCAGCAGAAAAACATGTCGGCGCCCTTGCGAATGTCATGTTGTTGACTTTCTTTATGTAGTTGGCTTTATTTGGGCGATACTTCAAAACATAATATTTATATTCCCTAACAATTCTACATGCAGTTACCGAATTTATAAGGTATGTGTTTTTTTATATAGGCAAATGCGTTTTACCGCTGCTCCGTGCCTTCATCCCACATGAAATCATGCTCCGTTATTGTAATTTATAGCAAACACTAGAGCTTTGATCCATACTATAGTAAAGTAGTTATACTCTAGGCCTATATAACAGTTTCTACAACTCTGTTAATGAATGCGACAGCATTAATATGTATGCACTATAGTGAACGGATTGCAATAAATAATGTTGTATAATTTAGTTTTAAACTGTGGAGTATAATATATGTACAATGTACAGTATTGGGTAACTTGTTTATATTACTATAGTTGTTGTTATACTATAGAAAATATCGAAAAACACAGCAGATTAATACACATACTTAAATACTACTGTTTTTTGAGCCATACTGTAGTAAAGTTGCTATAGTATTTTAGATGTGGGATATCTCATATTAAATTATTGAATACTAGGTTAAAATCTAATTTAAAAGACTTTTCACTTATGGTATTATATAAATTATTTTCTATTTACTAACATGTTTTTTTTTTTTTTTTTGTCTACAGAGAATCTGTCAATAATGGTCCATTTATGTAAGTATTATTGATGCAATACAGTTGAAAGCAGAAGTTTACATACATTGTATAAAAAGGCACATAACCACAAAAAAAAAAATCAGATTTTATTGTGACTAAACTTTTTCTCTTTTAGGTAAGTTAGGATGATCAATTTTTTTGTTGGGCTTAATAGCAGAATAATAAGAGAGATTTATTATGATTATGATTATTCTGCCTCTGAAAAGCTCAGATGATGGTGTCAAGGTTTTGAAATTTTCTGATTGGCTAATTCACCACATTTGAGTTAATGTGAGGCACAACTGTAGAATAATATTTAAGGAAAACCTCAAACACACTGCTTCCTTGTGTGACAACATGGAAAAATCCACAAGCCAGAATCAACAAAAAAGCCAGATTACAATTTGCTAAATTACACTGGGAAAAGGTTAATATTTGGAGACATGTCCTGTGGTCTGATAAAGCTAAGATTAAACTGTTTGGCCATAATGACCAGTGTTACATTTGGAGGACAAAAGGGAAAGCTTACAAGCCTATGAACACCATCCCAACTGTGAAGTATGGGGGCGGCAGCATCATGTTGTGGGGCTGTTTTGCTGCAGGAGGGACTGGTTCACTTCACAGCATAGATGGCATCATGAAGACAGAACATTATGTAGAAATACTGAAGCAACATCTCAAGACATCAGCCAGGAAATTAAAACTTGACCACAAATGGGTCTTCTAAACAGACCATGACCCTAAGCATACTGCCAAATTAGTTCAAATGTGTTTTAAGGACAACAGAGTGAATGTTTTGGAGTGGCCATCACAAAGCCCTGATCTCAATCCTATAGAAAATTTGTGGGCAGATTTGAAAAAGCTTGTGCGAGCAAGACAAATCTGACTCCATTACACCAATTCTGTCAGGAGGAATGGGCCAAAATCCCTTTAAACTTTTGTGAGAAGCTTGTGGAAGGATACCCAAAACATTTGACCAAAGTTATACAGTTAAAAAGCAAAGCTAAAAAAATACCAAGGAAATGTGTGTAAACTTTTGACTGTCTAGAAATGAATAAAAATTCCCTTTAAAAATTCTCTCATTACACATCACTACAAACGTCTTTTAAAAAAAATGTTTTGTGAACCCTTACAATGTCTGTCGGTGCCGTAGAATTGCCAGTTTCAAACCGATGAATTAATATTTGTGGCACAAACATGCATTTACAATGTTATGAACTATTATAGGGGTGGTCATATGTATATTGAAGTTGTCTATAAATTTAATTATTAATATTATTTAAGATACAGATGCGAGCATCTCATTTCTTAACTTATAGCGCAGACCCCCAAATATCTCGTTTTGATGTCCTTTATGGGGTATCAAGTGTTAATTAGGGGGGTTAGACCCCCCCAAAACTCCTCTGTAATTTACACTCTGATTTAGTTCTCATATTCTGAATTGCATCAATTGAATTAAAGACTCAAAATGAATTAAAGTCCCATGCTTGTGACACTGGACATCTGAAAACTTGCATAATATCTTTGTCTCGACAGCATCTTTCCTGCTCAAGAAGTACCACGGCGGGCATGTGGTCATCAGGCTGGCTTTAGGAGGTGCCACTAACAGACCTTTCTACCGTATTGTAGCAGCTTATAATAAACGGGCAAGAGATGGCAAATACCTTGAGCAGGTGGGCTCATACGACCCTCTCCCAAACGTACACAACGAAAAACTCGTCGCATTCAATTATGAAAGAATCAAGCATTGGATTGCATGCGGAGCCCATACGACAAAACCAGTGGCCAAACTTCTGGGTGAGTGCCATTACTAAGGTAAATTTTACAATGCCCCTAGACTTACACAGTTGAGTTTTACCAGTTGTGATTTTTTTCAGCTGATTTTTGCTTGAATTAGCCATTTTAGCTTATCTTAGCATAGATCATTGAATCAGATTAGACCATTAGCATCAAGTTTTGATATTTTTTTATGTTTAAAGCTTGACTCTTCTGCAGTTACAGATTAGACAATTAGAATCAAGTTTTGATATTTTTTTATATTTAAAGCTTGACTTTTCTGCAGTCACATCTTATACTAAGACAGATGGAAAATGAAAAGTAGCTGTTTTTAGGCTGATATGGATAGGAACTATACTCTCATTTTAGTGCAATCATCAAGGAACAATACTGTGGTACCATGGCTGCAGAAGGTACGATGGTATTACACAGAACATAAAAATAAGCTAAGGGCCCGTTTCCAGCAGATTCTGCCCTGTGCCTTTTTCACTTTCTTGCACTCAGTGTCTATATTTGAAATAACAAACTTCTTGAGCTGATGATAATAACGTGCGCGTGATCATTAAAGCACTTCTGACACCCGATTCTGTCAGAAACGGACAAACGCAAGAGTGAAGTGTGAAAAAAACAAAGGAGCAAATAATTTTTTCAGCAACCTAAAACATAAACAAACTGCCATGTTTAACTATCATAACTATATTTCATGTTGTTTTTGAACCCAAATAAGGACTAAATGTCTGCTGTGTGTAGTTTATCTGTAATTGGTAACATGTCGGAGATTGTAAGGGTCTGTATGTGTTCATATATTATTATATATTAACATTTTTTATAATTGCAGATGTTACAGTAGGCTATTTTGCATCATTGATCTGCAGTTATAATCAAATTATGTTCATATTATGTTCATAGTATTTGTGTATAAAGCATCTGTATTGTGAGAAGCGCTTCTCATTTCATATGTGAACGACCCGTATTTCCTTGAGCGAGAATGACGGCGACTGAAACTTTCTGTCGTACACCATGTCCACCACAAGGGTACCCTTGGTACTCGTTTAGCAGTGGAAATGCAAGCCTGATAAAGTTGACCCTTACTGACCCGTACTGTACCACTCAGTGGAAACGAGCCAAAACTTTTATCAATAGTCAACCAACTCCAGTCAAGATTGATTGACCTGGAAAATATTGTCTTTTGGTCTAGGTACATGTAAATACAAAAGAGTCAAGCTTTTAAAAGAAAAACTTATCAAAACTGTTTATTTTAGAGCGAGATGGTAATGGTCTAATCTGATTTAATGATCTAAGCTAAGCTAAGCGCTCCTGTCAGACCCAAAGATTAACTGAATGCATTTAAAAATTGTCAAACTCAACTGTTTAACTTTAGGGCAGGGGTGCCCGAACTCAGTCTTTGAGTGCCTGTGTCCTGCATATTTTAGTTCAAACCCATATTAAATGCGTACTCGCATTATTCACAGTTGCCTTAAACCGGGCTGAAGCACGCTTGTCCCGTCTACCCCGACAGCCTGCACTCACAATAGGCTCGTTTGAGGTGCGCCTCGCCTTGACTGCATTGTAAACGAGAGCAGGCGTGCGCAGTAAGAGGAGGGCTCAAAAATTACATCAGAAGTCAGACACCTGCCGAATCTCGCTGTTTAGCCACCTGGAAACGTCACCAGTGGCGGAGATCTCGTTCGCGTTTTTTATCGCAGACGAATGACCTCATGAAAAAATACTATGGTGATTTATAGTAAATATTATAGCATTTTTGAACATGTTTATTCAGTATTGTGTTGTGTTTATAGTTGTTGTGATACCAGAACTATAAAATTTAAATAGGCTATTTTATAACATGGTTCAAAAGCACTACAGTATACATTACTATAGTATTTTTTAATGTGGGAGTGGATGCAATAGAAATATCACTGTTTTTACAGAGATGGTCAGAATTACAGAAGATGAACAGCTCATTAACTAAAAGGGTGTATTAAAAATATAATTCTGTATATTCAACAAACGTTAAAAGAATAACAAAATAAACAGCTTATACAGCAAGAAAGCTTTCAAGAAACCTAATTTGGCTACATTATAAATGAAGTAGCCATAGCAAGATGCTTTTGAGTGACAAGTCATGACAAATGTTTGTTTGACAAATAAATTCTTAGGGGGTTAATTATATTGACATGCTTATTAGGTCTATATAAACTGCTTTTACTTCAGCCAGATTAAAATAAATAGCCCTAGACTTTCTCCAGAATAAAAACTATTAGACTGTAGGAAAAACTGTGGAAATGTTGTTGGTCTATTAAACATGACTTTTGACTCCACATACATATACACATAGGCCTACATATGTGTGTGTGTGTGTGTGTGTCTTGTTTACTACACCCTTTTCACTTCTCATATGAAACCACACAAAGATGAGGCATAATGACAAAACAGTCTGATTATCTTTGTATTTCTGAATATATGTATATATTGGATTGACTTTAATGGAATAATGCTGCATAAAAATTACAATACAAAATTCACACAAACATACAAAAAGTAAAAATGACAACAAACAGGACTTAAAACTGAGAGAGAAATAGAATACAGCACATGCACATCCTAATGATTCATTAATAACATTTAGTTATATTGGATAGGTCACGTTATGTTTTACAAAGATGTATTTTGTTTTTGTTTGTGTGTAAATCTAAATAAATAACCATATGTAACACTCTATGACTTTTTTTTTAATTATCAACGAAAATACAAAAAAGGTATTCAACAAATCCAGGTATAAACCTTAGTAAAACAAGATAATAAAGTGTAATGTGTCAGTCTCATCCAATCAGCATTAAGCTGTGTCGTCAGCCAGTCGTTTCCCATCATGCTTTTGGTAACGCAGTCTTTTGAGAGCAACAGCGGCCGACTGCTCTATCCGAGGTACCCGCCTCGCGATCGCGAGAGTTTTTTGGCGCACGTCAGCGTGACATCAGAGCGAGGCGAAGGCAAGGCGGACACATTTCTGACCGGCATGGATCTTGCGGTGATCACCGGTGATTGATTCTGCGCAGATTTTGGCCAAGTCAAACGAGCCTATTACATTCGTGACTGTGCATGCTTACGTCATCGATGATGCGCTGTTCAGTAAGAGCTCTCGATCAGCACCGTGGATATTTCTTTAGTTGTATCATTTTAGTCATTTGAGATGCAGGGACATGCAGTCAAATATTTCACCGAACAGATCAGCCACTTTTGACTTTGAAAATCTCTTTTGCACTCACACTACAAGCGTATGGGGCCTGAGCCCAAGTGAAACGTGCTCTGGCACACCTCTTCAAACCAGGCCAGGGCCGGCCAACTGAACCGCGCCTGAGCCCGATTCAGAGCACTCACACTTCTCAAACGATCCGGGAAACAAGCCTGGGCTCACTTCGGATAGCAAAGCTTGAGTGCACCCTAAACACACCTGAACCAGTTAATCAAGCTCTTTCTGGGTAAACTAGAAACTTCCAGACACGTGTATTGAAGGAAGTTGGAGCTAAACTATTCAGGACACCAGCTCTCCAGGACCAAGTTTGGGCACTCATGCTTTAGAGAGTTGTAAAATAAGCTTTTTTATGCTGGAGTGTTCCTTTTAAATATCACACTAATCCTCGTTTTCTCTGAGTAGGATTGGCTGGATTTTTCCCTTTGCATCCGATGACAATAACAGAAGCGGAGCGGAGACAGAAAGCAGCTTCAAGAGAAGAAGTTAAAACAGACAGTCAGGAGGAGGTGGAGCAGTGAAACCAACAGAAGAACTCTTAATGCAAAATCAAGTGTTCATGTTTTTGTTTTTTTTTGTTGCGCATCAGTAGTTATAATGAACATTGTATTTCTGTATTTTGTTTTTTAAACAAAGATGTCGTTTTTTGACTATAAACATCAGCAAGTTAAACTTCAGACATTCAGACACTGCTTGATGAAGGTTTCTATGTTAAATAATACTATAGAAATCAAAACTAAGGCAACTGAAAGTGAACTCTGTAATCATTAAACCATTGCAAACTCACTTTATCCAGTCGTCGTTCATCACTGAAGACAAATGATCGACTAGCAAAAAGAAATTAATGAATGATTTAACCTGAGGAACTCATACTGATATTCAAAACACACATTCTTCCTTGTTTCATCTCAGGTCAACTGATCAAAACCTATAAATGTTTGCACACAATTGCGTAACTCCTTTACAGCAAGCGATGTGCTGATGTATCTCAACTATACACCCATGCACTGGTATTAAATCATATTTAATATTCGTCAGAGAGCTCAAATTCTGAGGTAAGCTCATGAAATGCAAAGGTAATAAATGAGTTATGAGCCAAGCCAATGATTCATAGAGGATTGTGTGTCTTGTTTTGATCAATTCAGATTTTAATTTGTGCTGTAATCATTGCTATTATATATTTTTAAAGACATTACAGTGACTGTGTACAAGAAAAAACAAACAGTTCAAGCTATTAAATTTGTAGATATAGTGAATCGGATTGCTGTTTGAAAGATAAGATGTGATTCAGTTTGAGTACAAAGCAATTTATAATGTTTAATGAGGGTTGGAAAAGTTATGTATAGCCCAATATAAATGTACCATTGGTGTGTCCCAATGCTTTATAGATAAGCTATAAGCAGAGCAGCTGACGTAAAATGTATTATTCAAACTAAATCAGAATGTTCTGTTTAGCAATTGACAACAAAACATTTATTTAAATTTAGTGTTGTGGCCAATATGACATGAACAAAAACTTGGCGATTAAGTAGCAGAATTAACTAAAATGACAATTATGATAAATGAAAATATAAAAAATAAACATTAAAGAGGTAGTTCAACCAAAAATGAAATCTCTATCAGCATTTACTCATATTTCACTTGTACAAGACCTATTTGAGTTTCGTTTTTCTGTTTCACAAAAATAAAAATAAACCCACTGATAAAATAAACCCACTGACACCCATATAATTTTATTTACTTAGACCTACTATGGAAATCAATGTGTGCCAGCACCTAGCATACTTCAAAATATCTTCTTTTGTGTTTAACAGAAGAAAATCAAAGGTTTAAAACCATACAAGGGAGCACACTATGTGCAAGATGCATTATTAATTCAAGGTCAAACGAAAGTAATCGGAAAAAAACGACCTGAAAAAAATTTGATTGATTAAAGGTTCTGAATGTCGATTTCGATAACTTTTCGCTTAACTGCCCTGCCCTACACCATTAGCATCTCACTTATAACAGGTAATAGGCTAAATTTACAGTGCCACTAAAGTTAAACAGTTATCTTGGGTCTGACAAGACCACTTTTAGCTTAGCTTAGCATAAATCATTGAATCTTATTAGACCATTAGCATCTCGTTCAAATTTGACTAACAGCATTTACTCACCCTTCACTTGTTCGAAACCACTGTGATTGTGAGTTTCTTTTTTCTGTTCAACATCAAAAAAAGTTATTTTTAAGAATACTGGTTGACGATAGACGAAAAGAAAATGAATCAATACTGGTTGACGATACCTACTGACTTCCATATAATTTTATTTACTTAGACCTACTATGGAAATCATTGTTTGCCAGCAACCATTCATTCATTCATTCATTTTCTTTTCAGCTTAGTTCCTTTGTTAATCTGGGGTCGCCACAGCGGAATGAACCGCCAACTTATCCAGCAAGTTTTTACGCAGCGGATGCCCTTCCAGCCGCAACCCATCTCATCTTTTCATCAGAAGAAAGTGAAAAAAAAAATCAACCTGAAAAAATTAGACTGACTAAAGGTTCTGAATGTCGATTTCGGTTACTTTTTGATTAAATGCCCTGCCCTAGACCATTAGCATCTCACTTGCAATGGCAATAGGCGAACTTTCACCATGCCAATAGAGTTAAACTGTTACCAGTATTGATTGTATTCAGCCAATCTCTGCTAAGCTAAAAAGACCCCTTTTAGCTTAGCTTAGCATAAATAATTCAATCGGATTAGACCATTAGCATTTGTTTAAATTTGACTGACAGAATTTACTCAGTCTTCACTAGTTCAAAACCTGTGTCTTTTTTTTTTAGGAATACTGGTTGACGATACCTACTGACTTCCATTCAATTTTATTTACTTAGACCTACAATGGAAATCAGTGTGTGCCAGCAACCAGCATTCTTCAAATTATCTTCTATTGTGTTTAACAAATGAAAGAAACTATAAGGTTTAAAACCCACACAAGGCAGAGTAAATTATTAGGTATTTTTCATCTTAGGGTGAACTGTCCCTTTAAAATGACAAAAGCAATGCAATATTACTACAAATAAATATACAGAAATAAAAGCAATTGCTGTATACCGTAAATAATACTGAATAAACCGTTTTAAAGCCACTACGGGATACTATGTGCATGATTATTAATCTGTTATGGATTGTTAACAATTATTAATTTAAGGTCAAACTGCACCCTAAAAAGTCAACATGAATGTCCACATGGAATAAGGAAACATGAATCAGATTTACTTCTCTCAGCTCACTCTCTTTTTATTCATTGACGTCATCTTGGTTCACTCTGCATTTATAAATAGATTTATTTCTGTATTCATAATTGCAGTCTTAAATATAAATGTCACCCTGGACCACAAAACCAGTCATAAGTGTAGATTTTTGGAAACTGAGATTCATGCTATATATAAAAATGTATATGTATGAGACTCTGTTAATGTATGGTTCGTTAGGACGACAATATTTGAGATACAACTATTTCAAATCTTAATTTTAAGTTAAAAAAAGTCTAAATAATGAAACAATGTCTTTGATTTAATTTACATTAGGTTTTTTGACTAATTTAAGTGTATTGAACATAACACATAAGTTGTCCTAAAAAAACTAAAATAATTGTGGTTTTTCAGGTTATTGTATAGTAAACAAACAGCAAACTTCATTTTTTTGAGTGTATAGGAAATTTACATGTCAACATAGAACATGATCTTTACTTTATTTGTGTATATTTATTTATTTGTTGGCATAAAAGGAAAATAGATACCATTTAAAAAAAAATGGCTACTGCCAAAAATGAACATGGGCAACAGAAGACTGGTCCAAAGTCACAAATGGTTCATAAATATTGAAAGTGACACAGATTCTTATGCTAACTTGAAATAAAACCAATTCACATTAGTTTTAAAATATAAATAGTAAAAAATTTTCTGAAACATACGCAAAGCTTGACCTCCACAAGAAACATTTGTTTTTATGTGTGTATTTGCGTGTAAAGTATTCATAGCGCTTCACACAATTTTGTGTTACAGTCTTATTCCAAAATGGATGAAATTAAGTTATTTCCTTCAAATTTTACACACAATACCCCATGACACAATACCCCAATGTGAAAAAAAGAGTTTTTGAAATTGTAGCAAATTTATTAAAAATAAAAAACCTGAAAAATCACATGTACCTCAGTATTCACAGCCTTTTCTCAATACTTTGTTGGTGCATCTTTGGCAGCGGTTATAGCCTTAAGTTTGAATATGATGCCACAAGCTTGGCACACCTGTCTTTGGGAATTTTTGCCCATTCCTCTTTGCAGAACCTCTCAAGCTCTATCAGGTTGGATGGAAAGCAACGGTGTACAGCCATTTTTAGATCTCTCCAGAGATGTTCAATAGGATTTAGGTCTGGGCTCTGGCTGGGCCACTCACGGACATTCGCTGTGTAGTAAACCTTACTACATGTAAATTTTCCACTGGTTGAGGCGGCCAAATATGGACCAGATTCCGGTCAGAGAATCAGGAGGGCAGGAAAAGTGTTGACGTTTGAAATATTTATTTTCTTCAACATAATCATCAGATTGCTCAATTATGGGTAATGGTAGTGAGAAATGAATAAGATGTGATGGTCTACAAAGGAAAAACAAATAAAGAAATAATTACAAATAGTATTGACTATGAATTGTCATTAACATTGACTGAAACAATACACTGCAACAATAACATTCATCATAAATGTGCATATTAAACTCAAACATAATAACAGTAATGTCTGTTAGGAATGTGACAGTCTAATTAGCAACAACAGTCTAAAAAATGTCCGTTCATATGAGCAAACACGCTGATCGGCCGTCCATAAAGGCTATTTATAGCTCTGGCTTAATGGCGATGACTCAGCAGAATTATCGCGGCAATCGCGGCCGCAAATAACCGCTATAGCGGAACATTATAGGCGATATAGACCTCAAAATAGTATCGGCATGCATGTTACATAAGTATTAGATGTTTCAGATTAAACTTACTTGTATAAGATGAACGCATTAAAGAAAACAACATCAGCAAGAGCTAGCAATGATGGAGAACATAACAGCAGGTCCCATAAACTAAACGTCCCCCCTAGAAACATGCAACGAACTTTAGTTCCTAGTCCATCAAGCAGGCTTTCTGACACAGCCGCCCCCAATTATCTGACGAGATAATTGAACATTAAGAAAGTCTGTCAGGGGTGCTCGTGTCATTGTCCTCAAGAGGAGGAAGTGGGATCAGTCGCACGACTGGACGAGTGTATGTTTTGTCCTTAACCTTGATTCTGACCACTCGAATGCGGCCATCAGCTCCAGGTAAAGCCTCTGTTACAGTTCCAACAGGCCAATGGGAACGTGGAAGCTGTGGATCTACCACAAGTACAACTTGTCCTACTGCCACTTCCTTCCCATCAGTTGTCCACTTTTGACGGCCTTGCATGCTTGGTAGGTATTGACGGATAAAGGTAGTCCAAAAACAATCTGCTAGCACCTGACTATGCCTCCACCTTCGTCTTCCAAGCAGGTTACTAGAATCATACAAGACCTGGGGTAACGAGGCATCTCGGCGACCCATGAGCAGTAGGTTAGGAGTCACAGGGTCTACATCCGCGATATCTGAAGATACGTATCCGAGTGGTTTGGAGTTTAGAATGTTTTCCACCTCCACCAGAAGGGTTTGCAGAACTGGTTCTGGCACTGACTGCTCTCTGAGGATTACTTGGAGTGCTGTCTTAACTGATTTTATCTCACGCTCCCAAGTCCCTCCGAAGTGAGGAGCGTTTGGGGGGTTATGGCAAAAACTGATTTTCTGCTCTGCCAACTGTTCCTGTAGCTTTGGTGACATGGCCTCAAAGGATTCACGTAACTCTCGATCACCTCCGATAAAGTTGGTGCCATTATCGCACAATAGCTCCATAGGTTTGCCTCGTCGGGCTATAAAACGGCGCAGGGAAAGAAGGAAAGCATCACTGTCCATATGCTCCAACAGATCCAGATGTACACAACGTGTTGTTAGACATTTGTAAATGATCCCCCATCTTTTCTCCTGTCGGCGTCCAATCTTGACTG